CAAAAATTATATATTTAAAGATGTATATTTCATATCACAGATGTTTTTTTTTTCATCAGTATATATTGCATTTAATGAATAGTGTCCAATTTCTTTTTTAATTTTAATCTGCTGATTTCATGTTGTTTTTGTAACCATGGGTTAACTTGACAGGTGTGGGTGGGTTCCTCTGAATATGAGAGTATATATGGACAAATCTTAGCTACACTAAGTCCATTTATGGAGTTAAATTGGATGGGCATGCACTATATATGTGTATATCTTTCTTTGGATATTGGTCTTTAACAAACTGTACTTATCTTTATAATTCTCAGCCTTTTTATGATTACAAAGAAAATCTTTTTAGCATCCAGGGCAAATGTGATGACTTTAAATAAGACTGATATTTACTTTGAAAATATGTTTCTCTGCTATCCACTCCTGCCAAACTCTTGTCCGAAACTGCATCGTCTTACTGTTGTTAAAGTGGCGATATATATTTTAATGGTGCTGATGATCCTCACAACAGTTTTTGGGAACCTGCTGATCATCATCTCCATCTCTCACTTCAAACAGCTTCAGTCTCCAACTCATCTGATCGTTCGCTCTCTGGCTTCCAGCGACTGTCTGCTGGGCTCTTTGGTCATGCCGTACAGCATGGTACGATCTGTTGAAGGCTGCTGGTATCTGGGAGATTTTGTGTGTAAAGTGCATTCTAGTTTAGACATGCGCTTCTGTATCTCCTCAATACTGCATCTCAGTTTAATATCTGTTGACAGGTACATGGCCATTTGTGACCCTCTAAGATACAGAATGAGGGTCACAGACAAAACTGTAGCTGTATTTATAACCTTCATATGGCTGTTTTCAATTCTTTACAGTTTTTTTATTGTGTTTTCAGGTGTAAACAAAATGGGCTTGGAATCGTTCATCTTGCAGGTTTACTGTGTGGGAAGTTGTGTTTTGTTTTTTAACAAACAGTGGGGTATTATATGTCCAATTCTCACATTTTTCCTTCCTGGGACGATCATGAGCTCTCTGTATATGAAAATCTTTTATGTTGCGCAAAAACATGCAAAGATGATGTCAGAAAGAGTGACTGTGATGGCAGCAGGAGGGTTGAAGAGCCAAAGCTCTGTTCACAGAGAGAGAAAAGCAGCTAAAACTCTAGCCATTGTCATGGGTGTTTTTTTGTTCTACTGGCTGCCTATTTTTATTGCTACTATCATCGACTCTTTTCTTAATTTGTGACTCCAGCCAGTGTCTTTGATGCTTTGGTTTGGTTCGGATATTTTAACTCCACTTGTAACCCATTGATCTATGGTTTTTTCTACTCTCGCTTTCAGAAGGCCTTCAAAATACTCATATCGTCCTCTATTTATGGCTTCATTGACTCAAGCACCTTCACTTTTGAATGAATGTCATTTTTATATCAGGTTATCATGTTATGCATCACAATAAACAATTCTTCCTCTTATTAAACTACATGCTTTTATCGGCTAGTTCATGCATGCTGAAATAATTTACCATATGATATTGTGGACAATATGACAAAATATTAATAAACTTTTTACAACTATTGAAATAAACTGTGTTCTATATCTTATAAGAACCTCCTAAATTGAATGAAAGTTGTGATGTTATTATCTATTATTCCATATAAGTGGAAATTATAAATACAGCAGTTACTTCTAACTTAAATGTAGGGCAAGGTTATGCATCAGCCTAAGCTCATTTAGAAATGAAGTAGATAAAACATAACATGATATGTGATGTTTTATTTATGTTTGATCACACATGCATGTTTTTTTTTTTTACATTAAAATTATCCCTTTAGAAGAACATCTGTGCCCTAGTGTGTATTTGATTATGATTTTGTTGAAAATTGGAAACAATTGTAGGAGTGGCAAAAGAAAAATATGTATTTTTCAAAATCCAACATTACAGACAAAAACATGACTGTAAATTTTTTTTTAGTTTTTACAAAATCATTTTGGCAGCTGTGGTTGTATACAGAAAATACAGAAAAACTGTAAAAACATCTACAGAACAAACTGTGAATTTTACAGTATAAAACTGTAATTTACAAACAAGAAAATATGAGTGTAATAAACTAGTAAATTCAACAATGCACACTGCTACTAAAATCTGTTTAGCATCTTTAACATAAACTGACAACAACCATAATAATGCAGGTGGTAGAAGAGACAGCAGCATGAAGAATCAGTTAATCACAAGTAGCTTTTCCACGAGCTGAAGTATATACTAATATATAGAAGGCCCACAGAGTCATTCACGCAAACACTAAACACCATCATGGTAACACACATGGCACTTAAATAATGCAATAGCCTAAACATTCATTAAACAACAGAAGATGCAATATAAACCCAAATGTACATAACTGATAACAAAAATGACAAAACTATTAAGAAACATGATTATTTAAACAAAATACTTTCAAATGTGGAGTGTCATGCAGAGAATTCTGGGAATAACAGTTTACAGTTTTTTTACTGTAAATTATACGTTGATTTGTTCTTTTTTTACTTCTAAAAATTGTACAATTAACAGCATTTTACCCTGTATATAGTAGGCTATGGGAACTTACTGTTAACCTATTAACAGCTTTTTCCCCGTAGCGTCTTTACAATATTTTACAGTTAAAATTACACTCATTTTCTACAGTGGAATCATAGTCTTTAAGCCTCAGGAAATCTGTGCAGAAACTGTTATCACTTTTGATCACCAGGTGGTGCTATGCTCTACATGGTTAAAGGGATAGTTCACCCAAAAATGGGAATTCTATCATCATTTAATCACTGTCATGTTGTTCCAAACCTGTATGAGTTTCTTTCTTTTGTTAAGCACAAAAGAAGATATTTTGACGAATGTGCGTAACCAAACAGTTGAGGGTAACCATTGACTTCCATAGTATGGAAAAAAAATACTTTGGAAAATACTTGTCAGCCATCTTTATCGTTTGATTTCTGTGTAGACCTGTGTTTGCTTCTCTCGTTATTTACTGTACACTACATGCGTGAATCAGTGGGCGGGGCTAATCAGGCAGTGATGTAGAAGCAGGCGTTGATCTTCTTCTGCGGAGGCGGGGTTTAGCCACACTATTACGTCATAAAGTGACAGATTCCACAAGCTGTCATTTCGACATACTGGCTTCAATATAAGCTGTTTTTAGACTAACAAGAAAGTTTTGAGTTCTGAAACTTACAGGATGTTTTTATAGTACAATGACCTCTTATATGTCAAAAGATCAAGGTCATTTTGATTTCTCAGTTCATGACCCCTTTAATGTGTAATTAAAAGGAGTTTACTTAAAAGGCGTAGCCATCAAAATCAAAATTTGTTTATATTTACAAAATAAAATTAAGTTGGCCAGTGAAAACATTGGAATTATTTTCTTTGTACTTTAGTCAATTATATAAAGGTTAAAGAGAATGAACAAATAACATATTCTTGATTTTATGGCATTTCACAAAACGTCCAAACTTTTCTGGAATTAGGGTTGTAAGAGGATCATTGTGCAGTGTAGAGAGCTTCATTGATTATAACATAATGTCATGAGATTGTGATGTACTAAGATGAGTAACAGTTTTTTAGTGATTACATATACATATTACATATAGGCTATATAATCCATTCAGTATTTGATAAAAGTTTTGCTTTTATGCTGCTAAGAGGACGAACAGCCACATACATGCTGCAAAGTTTCGGGTGCACATCTGTATGTGAATGTGGGATTCAGTCTCAAAATTGCAGTGACTGTCATGGTGATAGTCATACCAATGGACAGGACAAAAATACTTAAAGTCCCCCTGTAGTGAAAATCAAGTTTTTTTTATGTTGTTTATTTGTCTATATGGTGTTTTTAATATGCCTTTAGACAAACCATGTGCCAATCTATTAATCAATACCATTTCTGAGCATTTTCTCCTTAAAACTGTAGTTTCCCAAAGGCTGACCCAGAAATACAGTTTGAAACAGCCCTCGGTTTGCTACGTCACAAACCAATAACCAATCACATCAAGGGATCGATTCCTATCACTAGCATGCAAAATATACCAATACCAGCACAAAACCAAAAATAAATTAAAGCAAAAAACCCATGACGCTGTGGTTTAATGTGAATTTAGAACCGCTAACTTGCATTATAACCCGTGGCAACAGTGTAAAAGTAGCCCGGAGTCAGACGCACCTCTCCCGCAACTGCGTCTGCACTTCACACGCATATGCTCGCGGGCGCAAGTTAAGAATCACAAACGGCTGTATTCAACGAATGTTACAGTATTCACTGTTGTTGTCCGCTAGTAAAAAGATAGTTTTATCAGTCATTATCCGTGTACGCCATTGTTTTGCGTTTACTACAGTTCAGTGGATCAGGAGGCGCTGGCTGGTGTGACTGAGTGGAGGCGGGACTAATTTGCATATTCATAGATCAGCGTATAGTAAATGAGGCAAGGGTGTAGAGCTGCATTCAAGCTATTTTAAGGAATGAGAAAATTATTTTCACAAGAAAAAACATTTAAATATGTAATTTTGATGATCAAAGATAAGTTTTAAGGGATAAAATATTTGACTACAGGGAGACTTTAAAATATGTCAAAATACTTGTGCGTTAAGGCCGGAATACCCTCAGTAATGGTGTAATAATGTCTACAACTCATCTATTGAGCTTCAGGTCAGGACACACAGTTGAAGTATATTTTCTCATTTTAATCCCCTGAGTTCATGTGTTTTTTTGTTTTTTTTTACTCTGGGTAACAGTGACAGGTGTAGGGAGGGTTACCTCAAATCTGAGAGTATATATGACCAAATCTGAGCTGCTCTGAGTCAATTTAGGGAGTTAAACTAGATGGGCATGTACTATATATGTTCACCTTTATTTGGATATTGGTCTTTACCAAACTATAATCTACAAAATTATTCTGTTTATACTTTGGCTTATAGTTAACGGCCTTTTTACAGTTACAAAGGAATTTATCTCAGTATCCGGAGCAGACGTGATGACTTCAAATGAAACTAACACTCAGATTGTTTTTCTCTGCTATCCACTCCGGCCGGACTCCTGTCTGAAAGTACAGCGCTATGTTGTGGTTAAAGTGGCAATGTATGTTTTCTTGGTGCTGATGATCCTTACAACAGTTTTTGGGAACCTGCTGATCATCATCTCCATCTCTCACTTCAAACAGCTTCAGTCTCCAACTCATCTGATCGTTCGCTCTCTGGCTTCCAGCGACTGTCTGCTGGGTTCTTTGGTCATGCCGTACAGCATGGTACGATCTGTTGAAGGCTGCTGGTATCTGGGAGATTTTGTGTGTAAAGTGCATTCTAGTTTAGACATGAGCTTCTGTATCTCCTCAATACTGCATCTCAGTTTAATATCTGTCGACAGGTACATGGCCATTTGCGACCCTCTAAGATACATAATGAGGGTCACAAACAACACTGTGACTGCATTTATTATCTTTATATGGCTGTTTTCATTTGTGTACAGCTTTTCTGTTGTGTTTTCAGGGATAAATGCAGTTGGACTTGAGATGCTGATATTGCAGACTCATTGTGTGGGAAGTTGTGTTTTGTTTTTTAACAAGCAATGGGGTATTATATGTCCAATTCTCACATTTTTCCTTCCCGGGTCGATCATGAGCTCTCTGTATATGAAAATCTTCTATGTTGCCCAAAAACACGCAAAGGTTATGTCAGAAAGAGTGACTGGAAGGTTGAAGAGCCAAAGCTCTGCTCACAGAGAGAGAAAAGCAGCTAAAACTCTGGCCTTTGTCATGGGAGTTTTTTTGTTCTGCTGGCTTCCTTTTTTTACTGTAACTGCTCTTGACCCTTTTTTCAATTTTTTCACCCCAGCTATTGTTTTTGATGCTGTAATTTGGTTTGCATATTTGAACTCCACTTGTAACCCCTTGATCTATGGTTTTTTCTACCCTTGTTTTCAGAGTGCATTTAAGATTCTCATTTCCACTTATATCTGTGGCAACAAGGATTGTAACACTTTGGTATTTGAATGAATAGGGCGCTCAAACTTATCACTTGTCATTTTCTTCATCACAGTAAGATTTTTTTCCCCCCTGCAACTCTTTTATATGTTACAGTTCATTTTATCTTTTTATTCCTGGGTACAACAGATCTAAAGACATACCATAACTCATAACTTACCAAGTAAGATACTCAACAAAAACGCATACAGCATGTCTTTTTGTTGAGTATCTTACTTGATTCCTCCGGATTTTATGACTCATATAATATGATATATTGAGAATATGAATAATGAGGCCCAAACTGAGCAAAAATATGCAATTTGGTGATATTTATATGAACAAATAGTAAGGTGAAATTCTGATGTCTAATGTAAATCATTGAGATCTTTATAGCAGCTTAGTCGACTGCTTAAATAAAATGATATAAATATCAATCTCACAATAATATGTTTTATTAAGATGATATTTAAATGCTTAGTTTTATGATCAAAGCTCTGTAGTTTCAAAACATATAATGCAGTACAATACATTAATGATGTTGACGTTCATTAAAAGTATCATGGATCATATTTGAGATTCACATTTGAAAATGATATTTCTAAAAAATGATAATGATAAGGTCGATATGTTGTTATACTTTATAGATTATCATGTCATGGGTGTTTTTTTGTTCTGCTGGCTGCCGTATTTTACTGTTACTGCCTGTTCTAGGCCCTTTTTTCAATTTTTTCAATTTTTTGACCCCAGCTGATGTTTTTGATGCTTTGGTTGGGTTTGCATACCTTAACTCCACTTTTAACCCATTGATTTATGGATTTTTCTACCGTTGTTTTCAGAATGCATTTAAGTTTCTTATATCCACTTATGTCTGTTGTGTCAAAGATTCAAACACCTTGATATTAGAATGACTACAGCGCTTACACTTATTTCACGCATCACAATAACGTTTTATTTTTATGTAATACTTTTATTTTCTAGTTCTATGTTACGCTGAAACCATTTTGCAAATGTAGGCTATTCTTTTTACTTATGAACTGTCTACATTTAACAGAAGGAGCGATCTTTAAATATTTAGTAATCTGAAGAGAGGGGCTGGGACTTTAAACATACAGGGCAAAGATCCATGTTCATAAAACATATAGACATTTTCAGAGAAATTGCAGAAATCTGTTTGTACTATGTTCAGAAAAATATATTCAATTATAATAAAACAATCTATGTAGCCTGCTTTTTTGGCGAAATTAGCATTTTAAATAAAACCTTTTTGGTTACGACATGTTGGGTTTACATTAAATGGTCTCCCTTTAGCAAACCATTCACTTTTTGGCAGTTTAAATCACCCAGTTAGAATCCAGGTGATTAAGCACTAAACAGTCAAGAGATAAAACTCAAGACATGCGTTTTTTTTTCTTTGTTAGTGGAATTGTTGAATAAAATAGCTGCGATTGAATCCTGCTTTCTTGTCTCCCTGACTCATCCATGACATCATTTCAGCCAACTAAACAACATCAGTTTACTAATTTATCACTCAGCTGTCAGGTTCACAGCCCAGATACATGACATTAGTTAAATTTTTGCATATAAAGTACCATTATCTATTTTTTACAGTATTTTTTATTTTTCCTTTTAAATTTTGTTTATGACTGCATACAGTGGGGCTAAAGGCACATCTTAAGGAAACTGTTTTCACTACTCCCATAGTAAATCTAATGCTTACTTAAAGTTAGTCTTTAAAAACACTAATAACATCATAATGCTGTGAAATATAATCTTTAGCAAATACCAAAACAAATACACATTTTAATACATTATAATTTTGTGATGCCCTAATTTACTTGTAGCATGTAGAACGACTGAATTTAAAATGACCATTTAAAAAAAAAAAGACAAAATTATATAGAATTTTAATAGGGTTGTTCCGATTCCGATACTAGTATCGTAAATGTCACCGATACCACAAACAATTCTGGCATCGGTATTGGCGAGTACTTGAACCCATGTACCGATCCGATTTTCTTAAACAAGACCTAGTTATGCCCGCTAGCTTTGCTTAACGCTGCAAATCGGAAATCAATTCTTAGAAGAAATGAAAACTTGCTAGCAGTATGTAGGCTGTTTGTCAGTATTTCAGACTGGACCAACCAGCCAGTAAAACGGTGACATGTCTCATATGCCATGCTGCAATTTCGAGGGGTGGCACAAGTATTAGCAACTTTACCACGAGTAACTTAAAGCATTTGAAGACGCGTCACCCCGAAGAACACAATGGTTACACAAAGACGAGGGCAGAGAAGGATGAGCCGTGCCAGAATCAACAATCTTTGGAAGCTTCATTCAAACGAAGAGAAACGTTTTCAAAAGACAGCCAACGAGCAATAAAGATAACCAACAAAATTATAGAGTTTATTGTTCTGGATGACCAGCCGCTGTCAGTCGTCGAAAACATAGGATTTTGCCTCTTAATTGAACATTTGGATCCCCGGTACAGTTTGCCTGGTCGCAAATACATCTCTGAAACAGCACTCCCTATGCTATATGAGACAGTGCGTGATCACATTTTATGTAAACTGAAAGATGTGCAAACAATTAGCTTTACTACCAACATTTGGAGCTGCGATGCGACCCAGCTGCCTTTACTAAGTTTGACAGCACACTGGGTGGACACAGTGACACTGTCATCTTTTACTCTTCAAAGTGCAGTGCTGCAAGCTAAGGAGTTTTGTGGGTCACACACTGGCACATCCATAGCTGAATCAATTGAAGGGATGCTTGTGAAGTGGAATAGTCCTGTGTTCATGTTATTTTGCGTGGGAACGCAAGCAACTTGAAAAAAGCCATGGACGAGATGGGTGTGTCAAGTTTGGGGTGCTTCGCACACTCTCTCCAACTGGTGATACACGAAGGCTTATTATCACAGAGAAGTATGAGTGATGTGCTGGTGAACTGTAGGAAGATAGTCAGCCATTTCAAAAACTCGCCATTGGCCACAATGCGCCTGGAGGATATTCATAGGGATCTAAAAATGCCCACCAAACGTTTGCAACAAGATGTGGCGACGAGGTGGAATAATACTTTTTAAATGGTAGAGAGTTTACTTGAGCAGAAGCGGCCAATTTCAGCATACGGAGCTGGTCACGACCTGCCAGCCACACTGACTGCCAGGCAGTAGGCTTTGCTGGAAAAAACTGTCACTATCACCATTTGAGGAACTGACCAAACAGATTAGCTTCTCCACCTCGTCTGTAGCGGAAGTCATCCCCTCAGTTACAGTTCTAAAATGGCTACTTGCTTGGGAGAGCCAGGAGGACACTGGTATAAAAACAATGAAAACTACCCTTCTTGAGGCCGTCAAGAAACGATTCGCAGCCATCGAGGAAGAGCCCTTGTATACAGTTGCAACTCTCTTGGATCCACGTTTCAAAGACAGTGTAACGAAGGGGACGTGACAACAAAGTGGGGATCCATCTGCAGGCTTTATTCAGAATTGTAGTCAGAACAGGCAGGGTCAAAACACCAGCAATCAACAATATCCAGGAAGAGACAAAAGGATAATCCACAAACAGGCGATGGTCAGGGCAGGCAGTGAACAATCGCAAAAACCAGGTAAACAGTCCAAGGAACAAACACACGACGGCAAGGCAAAGCAAGGCAAGGCGGAAAACATACAGGCTATACAATACTCAGTGATATATGTGTGTGTGTGTGTGTGTGTAAGTGCAACTTTTATAGTCTTTCTAATAAGAGACAGCTGTGAACTGATGATGAGTGCTGATGAGTCCAGGCAAAGTATTATGGGAAATGGAGTCCGGGGTGAGTGGAAAAGGTATGGGATGGACTGCCCTCTAGAGGAGCTCATGGGCACTCCTGCTAGAGATCGTGACAGAGCTCCCCCACCCCCACCCCTCCAAGGAGCGGCTTCCAAACGATCTTTAACAGGAAGAGGAAGCAGCACTCATTGAGACGGAATGTCCTCATTGCAAGGATATGAGTCTCGCCTCTCTGCGCTCGCGGAAAGCTTTCTTTTCAGAGAGCGACTCCACCCCTCATGGCTGCGAGCGATCTGGTCTCATTTGGAGGAAGCGAGTGTGACGCCATGGACGACAGCATGTCATTGGAGGCTTCAGATGCGGAGGAGCTGTCGGGCCCGTACGTCGACCCCGCCCGCTTGCCATCTGCACAACCCAGCACAGCCAGCACGGGCATGGACGCCGAGCTTTTCCGCGTCCTGTCTAAAGCTGTGGAGGAGCTGGGTTTGGAGTGGGCTCCGCCGGAGGAGCCCACCCGCAGCTGCCTGGATAAGTGGTTCTTGCCGGGGCGCAGTCAGGCCCCCCGACAACGAGCTTCACCATTCTTTCTGGAGGTCCACGACGAGATCACCAGGTCTTGGCGGGCCCCCTACTCGGCCCGCATTCGTGCCTCATCTTCGTCCGCCCTCACATCAGTTGACGGCGCCGAAGAAAAAGGTTACGACAGACTGCCTCCCCTGGATGAGTCAGTGGCCTCGCATCTCTGCCCGCCCACAGCCATCGGCTGGAAGGCAAAGGCAGCCCACCCGTCCAAGCCGTGTAGGGCGACTTCGGCTCTCGCCGGGCGAGCCTCCTCGCCTGCTGGACAAGACCGGCCCAGACCCCGCGGCTTTTAAGGAGCTGCGAAGTGCGACCGACCTGCCTCTACGCGCCACCAAGATGACAGCGCAGGTGATTGGCAGATCCATGGCCAGCCTAGTGGTGCTGGAGCGCCATCTATGGCTAAACCTGACGGAGATAAAGGATGCGGATAAGGTCCCCTTCCTCGACTCCCCAGTTTCCCCTACTGGCCTGTTTAAAACAGTTTACCGCTGTTTTCTAGTCGCCCCAAAAATGTGCTGACTCAGCACCCCGCGAAGCCCGCACCACCAATTGCTCCCACGGCTCCTAAGCCCGAGGCTCGCCAGCGCTCCCGCTCGGCCAGATGCCAGTTTCCTAAACGCCAGGGCCCCCGACCCAAGATAGTGTTGGACCCTGCTCCTCAGGCGTCATCCTGATCTGCGGGACAGGAAGAGGAGGGAGCCAAGTCTCGCTGCAGCCGGACCACCCCCCAAAACGCCTCCAAGAATTATGCCTCCAAGCACCCCGTTCAGTTCTGGGTGCCGATGGCAGTGTGTTTGTGACCAAAAATACTGTTGTGAACATGGGGCCCGTTCTAATCGCGTCCACACAACCAACCACTGTTATAGCCGGAAAAATAAGCGTCCCCTGACGCTTAAGACTGCTCTGCTTCTAGCATTAGCATTGGTAAAGTGTATGGGAGATCTGCAGGCGCTATCAGTGAGCCCCACCTGCCTCGAGTTCGGGCCCAACGACTCTAAGGTCGTCCTGAAACCAAGGCATGGTTATGTACCTAAAGTGCTCTCTACTTCATTTAAAGCACAGGTAATAACTCTATTGGCGCTTCCTCCTTCGGAGCAAGACCAAGAGTTGGATTTACTCTGCCCCGTCAGGGCGTTGAAAGTCTATGTTGAGCGCTCCGCCCCGTTCAGGAAGTCGAATCAGCTATTTATATGTTTTGGTGGCCGCACAAAGGGTTCTCCGGTCACGAAGCAGAGACTTTTCAAATGGATAATTGACGCTATTATGCTAGCATACTCTTCTTTGGGCCTTCAATGCCCCATGGGAGTAAGAGCCCACTCAGCTAGAGGCGTTGCATCTTCCTGGGCTTGGTCTGGCGGTGTGTCCATTGCAGAAATTTGTGCGGCGGCCGGCTGGGCCTCGCCGTCCACATTTGCCAGATTCTATAGTCTGGACATCCCGGCCTTACAGACGCGGGTCCTTTCTGCATAGCAGGGCACTCTGTCATATGACAACCAGTGCTTGGCGTTTGCCTCCTTCATGTACGCTCTTGGCCCTCAGTGAGTTCCGAGGCTGTACTGAATTATTTTGGGACGCTGATACAAGGCTGGGCCGACCTCTCTGAGTTTAGCCCTACTGCCTTTTGCAGGGCTTGCCCTACTAACGTAACCTCAGTTCCCTGAGATACGGAACGAGTACTGCGTACTTTGCCGTGCTATGTAGCTGCACGACTCAGTCATCGCTTCAGTCGAAGTAACCTGAGGATCCTATGGCGATGTGCCGCTTATATAGCCAGATGACCCCGCCCATTCTGGCGGGCTTTGGCGGGCTTTACCGCCATAGGCTCGTGCAGCTCTGCTGCCGAGCCATTGGTTCATTTTTTGTTCACTGCACGAACCAATGGCCGTGCAGTTACACTGCGTTATTGAAAGGCTTCAGTCATCGGAGAAAAGTACTCGCAGTACAGCAGTACTCGTTCCGTATCTCAGGGAACCGAGGTTACGTTAGTAACCGAGTACATTCTCTTGTTATATATTATTTTAAATGGTACTGTATGAATGCTATTTTCAATAACATTTTGCACTTAATTTAATAATTACTGTAAGTCTGTGACCACACCAAAGGCTACTTTGGAGGAGGTTATTTATTTGTTACATTTATTTATTGTTTTTCATTATTGTTTCTTTCAGATACTTCTCAAGTGCAGACAACATTAAGCATGCAAAGGATGCTCAATCAGTAGAGATGGAGAAGATTGAGAAGTTACTGAAAATGACCACCACAACTGTAGCAGAGACAATAGCAGAAAACCACAAGAAAACTCCACAAATGGAGTTTTAGGCGGCAGCAGCAGCAGAGAGAGTAGCTTGAAGGGCCTGTTTGAGGAAATCCTGCAAGAACATGATGAGGAACATGGCACAGGTACTACAAGCACACATGTTTAACATCAGACGTATGTGATGGAGCAAACTATCTCACACTCAGACAGCCCATTCCAGTACTGGGCAGTCAACCAAGTTCGGTTTCCCACTCTGGCTGCCACTGCTACAAAGTTTCTCTGCGCCCCTGGTACCAATGTGGACAGTGAGAGATTGTTCAGCACAGCATCTAACATTGTGGATGCAAGGAGAAACAGGCTAGGAGAAGAGAGAGCAGAAATGCCCATTTTCCTGAAGAAGAACTTGCCATTGTTATTGAAATTGTGAGCAATACTAAGTTCCCACAGCAGTGTGTAACCTAGTTTAAGTTACTTGAAATATGTATATTTTCATTCTGGTTTTAATACTGCTCTTGTTGAATCTTAACTTGTTCAGTTGAGGTTTATTTGTGTACTCTGTTACTCAAGTCTCTTATTTCACTACATTGTGGCTGCACTTTTTGTTTTTAAAGGACTACTTAGATTGAGTTAAGTTACTGTTGCACCTTTTTTGCACTTTTGTATTTAAAAACTGAAATGCCTTTTATTTAACAAAATTGTTTCTGGACTTTAAGTTTTAAAGAGATTATTTTCTTATATTATTCATATATATTTTTTTATATTCCTAGATTTATTTGTTGCACTGTTTATTATACAGTTATATTGTAAGACTAAAATACCTTTTTCAGTTTACAGTGTTAGATTTGTGGCTGCATTTGAAGTTCTTTTTCACTTAAGAAAAATAAATAATATTACTGTCAAATGTATGTCAGATAATAAAAATACTCTAGTTCACTGTATGTATTTGTTCATGTTTTATTAAGGGATAAGTCTGAAGCACACCATAAAATAATTCTATCAATTCATACAGGGCTAGTAGTATATACAGCTGTATATATAGATACACACCCAGGTATCGGATCAGTACTCGGTATCGGCCGATACCCTGAGCCCAGGTATCGGAATCGGTATCGGGAAGGGAAAAAGGGTATCAGAACATCTCTAAATTTTAATATTGAGCATTTATTGGTTATCAGCCATTACATATAATTATTGACTTAAAGCAGCACTATGTAACTTTTTCTGTGTTCAAAATGTGCAAAATATATATAATGAGCGAGTACATCATGAATTCATCTTCCAAACCGCGTTTTTGTCTTATTCTGAATCACTACGGTACACTTATAATAAGTACTTATATTTGAACTATTGTAGCCTGGTCGGGTCGTCAATGCTGCGGAGTAACACATACCTGCGTGAATCGCCATAGACATAAACTTAGAGAAGTAGCTCCGGTTGGAATGTTCTTCCGCGGGATGTGTGCAGTTCTGTTTATTAACCGCTAGAGAGCCAAAAGTTACATAGTGCTGCTTTAATTTTAATGCCTGTGCATAGCTGCTAGTATTTTACTTTTTAATAATTGTATCATAAATAATAATAATTGTTGATGACCTGAAGGGCCTGACAGTTCATGTTGTTTTTGTAACCATGCGTTAAACTGATGAGTGTAGGAGGGGTTATTTCAAATATGAGGTTATATATGGAGAAAACCAAGCTACATTAAGTCCATTTATGTTGTTAAAATGGATCGGCATGTTCCATATATATATTTATCTTTCTTTGGATATTAGTCTTTACTAAACTGCTTCTCATAAAATAATTATTTTTATAATTATGTTTATAATCGTCAGCTTCTGGATCAGATGTGATGACTTCAAATGAGACTCAAACTGAGAATATGTTTCTCTGCTATCCACTCCGACCGGACTCCTGTCTGAAACTGCATCGTCTTACTGTTGTTAAAGTGGCGATGTATGTTTTAATGGTGCTGATGATCCTCACAACAGTTTTTGGGAACCTGCTGATCATCATCTCCATCTCTCACTTCAAACAGCTTCAGTCTCCAACTCATCTGATCGTTCGCTCTCTGGCTTCCAGCGACTGTCTGCTGGGCTCTTTGGTCATGCCGTACAGCATGGTGCGATCTGTTGAAGGCTGCTGGTATCTGGGAGATTTTGTGTGAACACAGCAACAACTGAATGCTACCCCAGATAGTCATTCAGTGTGAAACCAACAGTGATGCGACGTCTTTGAAAATCGTGCAGTGTGAACTCGGCATAACTGGATCGAGAAAAGATTCGAAGTGTCGGCGTATCAATTACAGTGACATCTAGTGGATTATAAAATGTACAACAGCCATATCTGGGATGAAGCTTCACTGGATGAAACACCCACTTCACTGATGTAATTTTACTCTGTAGTGTAAAATTACACTATCATACGTATGATATACGTATGATAAAAATCATACGCTGATAATATTTTTTATGTACCATAATGTGGCAATTCATGGTAATATAAGTCAATATTAGTCAATGTATTACAATAAAATACTGTTTAAGTGTGAGAAATTGTTGAATTATTATAACTAAAATACCTGTATATGACATGTAATTGACATAAAACTATCTGTATAGTAATAACATTGTTTGTATTATTTCTTCATCTGGTATAGGAAAATATATAAATGTAACTTCAAAGAATTCATGGATTATGTGGTTATTAAATGTGCTTGTGTAACTGGGTGAAGAAGAATGTGGGCACAAAAAAAGGGCTATTTTACTGGTTTTTATTGAGAAATAAAAATGTTTTGACACTGTTAGGGCAGAGCCTATTTCTCCTCTTGCACAATACTTCCCCTGCCTTTGAGAACATTCTCTCACAGGGTACAGAGGAGGCTGGTGTACACTAAAACTGTAGAGCCATCAGATATAGATGGGGAAACAGATGTTTTTGTTCTTTCCAGTATTCAAGTGGATCATGTGTTCCTGGTATGTTAGTTTCCTTTAGGTATCAGTCAACCTCGATTACTGCATCAGCTGTGGCATTACAAGTTTTTTTACTCTGGTCCACAGCACTAGCAGGTGCCACAGGTTTCCACCTAAACAATTCGAAGGCAAAAAAAAAATGTAAATATGACTGCAAATGTAAATGCATCACACACTAATATTTATGTCATGAAATATTCACAAAAGTTTTTTTCCAAAATAATAAAAAATATATACTTGAAGTAGTTGCAGCCTGTTGACTTGTTGCCTGTTGAGATGATGTTTCTGTTGACATTGCTTGACGTTGATGGGGTTTGTTCTTGGATTCTGATGATGGTGGCACATTCCCCTTTTAGCCTTCTAACAGCTTCAGTCATTTTATTTTGATTGAGGAACCCAAAGGTTTTAAACCTTGGGTCCAGCAAGGTTGCCATGGTCATTACACTCATAGACTCTATATTCAATATATGTTCTCTCAGGCGTCTGGTCAGGTTTTCTGTCAGTTCTTTTGAAATGTCCATGGTCAGCCTAATCAATTTAAAATGGCTTGGTCACATTTTCAATATGAACATCAATATGAATGTTTTAACTGCTGGATAAATATACAGATAAAATACCTGATTTGTTCTCCCTGTAAAGAATGGTGTATCATTTTCATCAGTGGAATGACTTTTGAACCTGAGACACATTTCTCCTCAGACAGTTCTACCGTAGCCTGCTGGAACGCTGAGAGCATATGGAGGACTTCCTCTATTGCTTCATACTCCTGTGGATGAAGTGGACTGATGTCTGTCCTGAGAGAGGCTAGGGATACCCCAACAGCATCTGAAAAGTGCTGTTCCACCATGTTTCCACTTCATTGATAAGTTTAAGGGCAGGTCTGCGCATTTCTTGTTGCATCTGGGTTAGCCTCTCTTTGGCAATGGTGCTGGATCTGAAATAGGTGACCATTTTCTTTGCCTTGGTGCAGATGTCACAGAGGGCAGAAACTTGGTCGAACGATTTTTTAACCATTAAATTAAGTGCATGTGCAATGCAGATTGTGTGCCTCACTTGTAGAATCTTTGCACAAGCAATCATATTTGCTGCAGCATCTGTGACCAGGCATTTGACCTTTGCCTTGATTTCCCACTCCTCCATATACTTTTTTTTTTTTTTTACGAGGGCTATATTTTCAGCTGTGTGATTATCTGGAAACTTCTCTACCCCCAACAAGACAGTGGTGAGCTTATCATATATCATATATATAATAATAAACACATAATCAATCAACACATTTAACACTTAATTTCAACACTTAAATACACACAGAAACACCTATTCATACCAGACAATGGTTTCGCCAGCTTCCGGTTGAGCTGTGCCGGCGCAACCAAGCCCGTGAAGTCATAAACGGCCGCCGGAAGACTGACTACGCCCACACAGACAAACATCACAGGGACGACATGACAGGAGTGCAGTGTAAGTGTTTGAAGATCAGGTATGTATGTATGTGTCAGTGTGTGTGTGTTCTGGCAATGCCAGGTGTGATATCATGTAGCTAAGCAACCTCTTGTGGTCATATGAGGTAGAGCAAGAAATTAGGAAGTGACCTCATCAGTAAAAGATTATACAATTAGTGATGTCATCAAAAAGAGACTGAATCAGAGGCAGAGATCGTTCATGTTATGGGCATTCATTAATCCAAAGACATCCTCCATTCAAAGTTATTAATATGGCATTCCCTGTAAGTCATCTAGTTTTGTCATTACTCATGATTGTGTTCAGTGCATTATGTGTAGTTAAAGATGCGTATTTGATGTTATTTAGGATGGCATGTTTATGCTTGCCAATACGGTGCATATTTTCTCATCTTTCACATGTTATATTATTTTATAAGTTAATATATTTTTGAAAATATAGTGAATTCATTGGTTGAGTTGAGTAGTCACTATAAGCATTGGTTATGCTCATACGTAATATAGAAAACTGTTATAGAATATGCAACTTAGTGTATGTATTTGTATTTTCAGTTTCACACCATTCATGTGATAAAGTTACACTCTCAACATTACCTTGTGGTTCCGGGAGTTATTGCGTGAAGTTGTTTAACTTGCTGGACAATTGAATGTGGGTTCAACGAGGCCAGTACAGTGTGTGTGTCTGATCAGGCCAGTGCCGCTCCCTCAGCAGTGACTAACAGGCGCTTTGTCACATGTATTGCTCATAAAGTCCCCCTTTGAGGTCAATTATTTATTTGGCATATAATATGATATAATATAATATAAAAAACGAATTGAAGCATTTAAACTGAGATCTGTCAGCTAAATATAAAAAAAAAAAACGTGAACATGTGAATTCTTTTATAGTTATCTAAACATCCCCATGCAGAGTTTGCACACTACCAGTGTTAATTTCGTCAACAAAGACGAAGACAAAAAATATTCGTTAACGAACATTTTTTTCTGTGACTAAGACTAGAGGTTGACGAGCTAAAACTAATATCTGATGACGAAATTTATGCCGCGTCTTCGTTAACTAGACAAGATGGGACTATATGTTATTTGAGGACTACAGGACATTCAAATACCAAAATGCGAACTAGCAATCTGAAACAATGGCCTCAGCACCCAAAGAGGTAGGGATAAGGTGACCAGACATCCCGTTTTTCCCGGGAGTCACAATTCGTTGTCGATTAACTTAAAGTTATTGAAGCCGGGATAGGCGGAATTGCGCTGATAGCAGTGCTCTCTCTCGCGCACGCTCCACTGGGGTGCCGTAAATGGCCCATGGGCCGGCAGTTTGAGACCCCTGATGTAGACTGTACGATGATGACACCTATTGAATCGTAGGCTGCGACACACGTTAGCGCAACGTCATCAGCATGCGCTAGTGGTAAACAGATACCGGTACATCAAGATGGATCGCGCTTTGGCAGTTTTGCTTTTCATGTGCGCTGAAACAAAGAAGAGGCGCCGGCGGAAGAGGGCAATATGGACCCGCTCATGGCTCGGGAAAAGAGGACAACTTGGGATGCCAGTTTTGCACAGGGAGCTTGGCAGCTGCAGTTCCTCCGCTATCTCCTTCCATGCTATGTCCTTTTTGGTGCGGTCATGATAGCAGCTAGAGGACACAACGTACAAACATGCCCTCTGCTGCCACAACTCAACAAGAATTTGTTCTTTATGGGTATCCCACATACCAGTATACCTTCTACTTTTTTTTGCCTCCATGACATTGAAATTGTAGCGCTGCTGGTCGCGTGGAACAGTACGTCATTTCATGTTGCAATTTCATTGGCTGCTGAGTAGACGCAGGTCGTTGCAGCAAACACACTGTGCGTTGATCATGCTGAATTTCTGACACTGTCAGAAAACTATCGTAGGCTATCTTTGGTCGCAAGACCGGGAAAAAGCCCATCTTTGAACCTCTCTCACTGTACGACATAGGACCACCGATTAAGAGCCACGATCACAGAAATCGCCACGATTGCTTCACGATGGCAATCTTTCGTCTGGGATAGCCAAAAATCATGCAGTGTATCCCGGGCTTAAATGGGACAGCATTCCTAATTAATTACCTATCCGTGTCAGTAATGTTAACTACAAAAGATGTTAAACAAATATGTTAAGTAAACCTACTGAATCTGAAAAACGAGTTTAATTTGTATCACTTTTGTATTTGTCTTGTTGTCTTATTCTGCTTCTTTTTCAAAAATTATATAATTTAATCATAATTTTATATATGAACAACTATAATTTGTATAAGTTGCTCCCTTTTCACTATTGTTAAAGGGATAGTTCACCCAAAAATGAAAATTGTCATTTATTCAAGTTTTTCCAAATTCAATCCTTGATTCAAATTTCTCATAAGCTTAATTGATTTGGTCTAAAGAGAGAAGAATTAATGACTATTTTAGTTTGAAGACTACATATAAAATAGCTACCAAAATAAATGTTGGTAACTGCAGTTTGACTAAAAGTAATGACTAAAAGTTGACAAAAATGCAATGACTTTTCGTCGACTAAAACTATGAAAGACTCAAATGACTAAAATGTGTTAATTAAGTACCTATCCGTGTCATTAATGTTAACCAACAAAAGATGTTAAACAAATATGTTAAGTAAACCTACTGAATCTGAAAAACGAGTTTAATTTGTATCACTTTTGTATTTGTCTTGTTGTCTTATTCTGCTTCTTTTTCAAAAATTATATAATTTAATCATAATTTTATATATGAACAACTATAATTTGTATAAGTTGCTCCCTTTTCACTATTGTTAAAGGGATAGTTCACCCAAAAATGAAAATTGTCATCATTTATTCAAGTTTTTCCAAATTCAATCCTTGATTCAAATTTCTCATAAGCTTGATTGATTTGGTCTAAAGAGAGAAGAATTCATTACTATTTTTGTTTGAAGACTACATATAAAATAGCTACCAAAATAAATGTTGGTAACTGCAGTTTGACTAAAAGTAATGACTAAAAGTTGACAAAAATGCAATGACTTTTCGTCGACTAAAACTATGAGAGACTCCAATGACTAAAATGTGACTAAGACTATTAAGCATTTTTGTCTCAAGATAAAGACTAAGACTAAATCAAAAATGCCTCTCAAAATCAACACTGCACACTACTAGGGATGCAACGAATTTACTCAACTCATGATGCGATACGATTCACGATAATGATTTCACAATACGATTTTCTCAAATTTTTTTTAACAAAATGAGATTTAAGACCATTTATAAATGAAAAGGTGTCCTTCTATTATTGCTTGGACAAAATGCTGCACATTTCTTTGTGAAATTGAAATATGTCAAATAACGAAACTAAACTGAAATTTTAAAACAAATCCCAAATCAAATAAATAAATAATACAAATAAAATAAATCTCTTCATATAAACAAACTAAGGCTTTACCTGTGTCTTTTCCATTTAAAATTAGAGGCAACCACTGCATTTTAATCAAGATCCAAACAAAGATGCTGCATACATTTTTATTTAAACTTGATTTTTCCACATTTTAAGCAAAAACAGAATTAATTAAAACGGGTCTGACTTTAGCTTTGTGAAACTATACTACCAAAGGTGTATAATTAGGTAAGGACACTAGTGAAGTGAAGTGACGTGACGTGGCCAAGTATGGTGACCCATACTTGGAATTAGTGCTCTGCATTTAACCCATCCAAAGTGCACACACACAGCAGTGAACACACACACACCGTGAACACACACCCGGAGCAGTGGGCAGCCATTTATGCTGCGGCGCCCGGGGAGCAGTTGGGGGTTTGGTGCCTTGCTCAAGAGCACCTCAGTCGTGGTTATATTACATTATCATATCACATTTTGAGTCACAGATCGGATCATTTTTCAGATGAGCAAAAAAAATATGGTTCTTTACCATTTAAGTAACACTTATTATTTTAAGAACAATTTACTACTTCGATACCACAGCAAAAACTAGTAGCATATAGGGATGTAACAATTCATTTAACTCACGATGTGATAGAAATTTCTCACAATTTCTTTTTAACAAAATGAGATTTAAGACCGATTTTAAAAAAGGTGCCCTTTTGTTATTTCTCAGACCAAAAGGCTGCACATTACTTTGTGATATTGAAAATGTCAAACAATATACTAACTTGAAATTTTAAAACAAATCCCAAATCAAATAAATAAATAATACAAATAAAATAAATCTCTTCATATAAACAAACTAAGGCTTTACCTGTGTCTTTTCCATTTAAAATTAGAGGCAACCACTGCATTTTAATCAAGATCCAAACAAAGATGCTGCATACATTTTTATTTAAACTTGATTTTTCCACATTTTAAGCAAAAACAGAATTAATTAAAACGGGTCTGACTTTAGCTTTGTGAAACTATACTACCAAAGGTGTATAATTAGGTAAGGACACTAGTGAAGTGAAGTGACGTGACGTGGCCAAGTATGGTGACCCATACTTGGAATTAGTGCTCTGCATTTAACCCAT